ATCCAATCCAGTCATTGATGCTCCCCAGTTTACTTTTACTTTTTTTTTTTTTTTTTTTTTTTTTTACAAATTTTCTATTAGTACTGTCTTTTGTCTTATTGTGTACGACCTCCAAACTCTACTGGACATAAGATCTATAATTATTCAGTTTTCCAGAATTTAAGGCTTACATCGCAGATCCACCATTTGGAAACTCACCGTTCATTTTACCTGAGGCGCCATGAACCTGGGCCCCAGGAACTCGTAAATGCAGATGAAGAGGCAAAAGGTCTGGCGTTCTGGTTTGGCTAAGACAGTGTGCCAACAGACCACCGCCCAACATACTTCTAGCTAATGTACAGTCTTTGGAGAACAAGCTATGTGAACTTTGGGCACGTTTTTCATTTCAACAAGAGACCCGGGATTGCTATGTGATGTGTCTTACGGAAACCTGGCTGACGGACAAGATACCGGACTCCACCATTCAACTACCAGGGTTCTTCGTGCCCCAAGCGGACAGATCGTGGGAAATGACCAGGAAGACCAGAGGAGGCAGTGTGTGCTTCACGATCAATAATTCTCAGTGTGATCGCATGAACGATTAAATTGGTTTTTAATGCCATCACCTTCAGTAAACTGGTTACTACACCCTAACTTCTCAGTCTTCTTACTGTTTTTCTGTCCTGTTACTCTTTATATGAGTTTTTAGCATAAAATTAACAAATACATGAACCATAGCCACATGTTATCAAAGGTAGGGTAACCGGAACAGCCTGCTCTGCTGGGCGGAGAGTGGGTGGGAGCGGGGAGCGGCCAAGCTGAAGAGGGAGGGCACAGAAGGGGCGTGGTCTGGGAAGGACGCGTGGTGCAGCTTTGGGGAAGGCGCCCCTCCTCTTGTCTACAGTGTTGGGCATGGAGGCACTGACCACCATGCCAGGGCAACCAACATAGGGGTTACAGGCTGCAATGCAGACCTGCACCATGAGGGGGCATTACAGGACCGAGATGTGGATGTCATGAGCCAGGAGAACCGGCAAGGTGAGGTGGAGGTCAGTATCAGTGACTGAGACATGCTGTAGGACACGGCTGGTTTGGCACGTTCTGCTGAGCTGCTCAGTGATTTTTTAGCTCTTGCTAGCTGAGTTCTGGTTAAATGCTAAAGACCTTGTGAGTGTAGCCTGTGATGATACACTGTGGGTTCATACAGACCGTAAGAAGCGTGTGAAAGACGTGTTACCCCATCTGGCCTGCTGTATGTGTAACCATGACCCCCTTCCTCTCTGAGCTGGACAAGAAGTCAAGTTCATTTGTGAGGGTCAGATTCCTTTTAAGTATGATCCGTCATTTAGGGTGTCCAGCTGCATACCTATCTGGACACCATATGTAATGAAGAAGCACCCCCCCCCCACCCTGGAAAAGTCATTTGAGGGGGGGACACCTTACAGTTTCACTTTCCTTAAAAGTGCTCTGAAAACTCTCTACTGACCTATTTACAACTTTTTAATTTAGAAGATTAGTTTATATACAGACTCATACTGTACCTAACAGCCTTGTTTTATTTCGTAACTGTGTAGTGTTTTAATGAATGAAATCTTCCATCATTGTGAAATAAAACACCTCCTTCTGGGATGCATAAATAATAAATAAAGTCGACCAGCTTTTGGGGGCGGCATGGTGGTACTCCGGTTTCCCCCCACAGTCCAAAGACATGCTGAGGCTAATTGGCATTGCTAAATTGCCCTTAGGTGTGCATGTGTGAGTGAATGGTGTGTGAGTGTGCCCTGCGATGGGCTGGCCCCCCATCCAGGGTTGTTCCCTGCCTCGTGCCCGTTGCTTCCGGGATAGGCTCCGGACCCCCGCAACCCAGTAGGATAAGCGGGTTGGACAAAGGATGGATGGATGGATGGATGGATGGACCAGCTTGTGAGTTTCTGGTGTATGTGCTGCTGCCACATAGTGGACAATTTGGAAGGTGCAATTCTCTCACTAACCAAGCAAGTGCCGCCTTTACTATGCTTTAGAAATTCTAGCTGAGTCTACCAAAGTGGTTCCCAGGTTGGCTCACTGCCAGATACCTCACAAAAAACCCAACACAAATGTCTTACTCCTAGCTGAACCAGGAATGCTGTAACCAATATGTGGAAAGGAAGTTTGTGAGGTTTGCCAATGTCTTGATCTTCAGATGTTCATTCACAATTCTAGGCACCATACAGAGAGATAGCTTCATATTATTGGTTATTAATTTAATGAATTCATCACAATTTCAGCTGTTTTACACCATATATACTCAGCATGGAAATGTATCAATTTGACACACTGACCAACATCAAATGGCAAAAACATTAAAAATAAACATTGAGGGGAAAAAAACAGACCTTTTTGGCTCAATCAGGAAATTCAGTCACAACCTAGAAATCCCAAAGTGTTCAAGGATGGATGAGGATTCATTAGAAACTATATATGTCCACTAGGGGGCAGCAACCCTCTAGGAGTCCCTTTGCGTTATTTCTCTGTCCTGCTGATTACTGAACAGATTGAACGAACAGTGCAGGCAACCAGACCAGTGGCTCCCTATCCATGTACTTTTCCATCAGTACTACCCAGTACTACCCATTCTGATGATGCTATGTTGTAAATAGCTTGGCACTGTAATTCAGAACCATTCACAGTGAGTATTCTCTTACCATTTTTCAGGGACAGTGAATTGTGGTGGACAGGATTTCCTGCTACCAGCTGCAGTGTAGCAAAGTGAATGCCAACATATTATCAGAACTGTAACCGGAAGCTATAAAACTGCTTATGAGTGAGCTGTGAAGACACTGCTACCACAGATAAGTGTTTGAGGAAGTTAGTGGGCTCTGTGTGAGACGTAAACAGGCATAGTTGGAGAAACTGGGACTGAAAGGCCTTCAAGCTTGTAATGATTTTGTCATGGCATTGTTTCCAAAGGCTTATGCAACATCTCACCCTTTATTTTCATCTAGATTTACATTCATTTCTCACTAAGATCGTGTGGCTCAGTGGGCTAAGCCTGTGTGCCTGTAATCACAAGGTCGCAGGTTCAAACCCAGCCTCAGCACGTCTGTGGGTCCTTGAGCAAGACCCTTAACCCCCAGCTCCCTGGGCGCTGCTATGGGTGGCTGCCCTTCGCGGACAACTTACTCTACAAAGAGCAAGTTGAGGGAGGTGTAAAAACAATTTCCCCACGGGGATCAATAAAGTATGAATTATTATTGACAAGTGAGTTGAGCCACTTCACGCGTGAAAATGATTCCTCATGATCCCTGAACTACTCTTTCACAATTCGAACCTAATTAATCTTGGCATTCTATACATTGGAACAAGAGCACTTATTTTTTATAAATACAGGGCTCGCTATGAGGACTGTGTCAGTCCCCATGGGTCTGGAGACCAGAGTGAGAGCGGCTCCATGTTCCTTGAAATCAATCCTATAGCGCATTGGAAGCCAGTGCAGAGAGGCAGGTATAGGAGAAATACGATCACGCTTACATGATCCTGTTAGTGGTTGAGCTGCTGCATTTTGGACCAGCAGTAGGCATTCAATGGAAGCTTGGCTGACAGCTATGTACAGAGAGAAATGGGTGCGTGCTAAAATAGAACCTTGAGGAACTCCACACGAGAGAGG